TCTGGTTTCTCCATCTTGCCGGGATTTTTGCCCTGCCAGTGCCCTAGAAATGGTGCTTTCTGTCCCTGGGGTTTCTTCCTTTCAAGAAGCTCCAATGACTCCCATAGGTGCCTGTCTTGGAAAGACAGGCACCGTGCTAATTTCCACAGGCACACAGAGCAGTGTCTGCCTTTCCATGCCCTGCCCCTCCTGTGCTGCATGGCACCTTCCTTCCCAGCAGGGCCAGCCGAGTGGTGCTGGGTCCTGCAGTTCCCTCTCTGCCACACAACCTGGCAGTCAGCCTGGGCCAGTTCCCCTCTGCCTGAGCGTGCCAGGCAGCAGATGGGGCTGGGACAAGTCCCTCTCAGCTGTCCCTGTTTGTGTGCCAGAAACCTCTAAGGGTGGGGTGGGGGGCACAAACCAGGGACCCTCAGAGGCTCACAGTGAGTCCCTCACAGCCCCTAATTCACATTGTGATGAGGTGAAAAAGCCATAATGATATTGATTGCTTTAATTAGACATACACCTTGAAATAAATCTTCTCCATCTGTTTGTCCTGCCCATCAGGGCAGGAAAAACAAAATGGATTTCACAAACCAATTAGGTGACATTTTTTGAAATTTGTGCACCTTATCTGTGCAGCCAGTAAATGGTAAACTGGTATTGTCACTAGGAAGTAAGTCACAGCTGCCATCCACTGGAGCAGGGAGGGAGTAATTCCCAGAATTTATTCATCTTCGTGCAGCCCTGGGGTCCTGTGACTGCTGGGAATGCCACAGGGGCCAGGTCCACAGGAGCCGGACAGCTACGATGATGCTTCCACCAATGGCGGGAAGGCACTCTGGTGGCTTTAATTTCTTGAGGGTTTATTGTGAGGAAAAGCAAAGTCTGGGGTGAAGGCAAACAATCTCAGAGGAAGGGAACTCGCTCTGAGAGCCCCAAGATGAGGGCGAGGTAAGGTATATAACAGCAACAGGGAAGGAGCGTCAGGACATACAACAACCAGTGAGGGAAGGGTTCAAGGGGGGAGTAAAGGATAAGTGATAAGGTAACAAGTAATGGGGACAAGGGGAAGGAGTGGCTACAAGGAAGGAACCAATGGGTGTACAGAGAGCAAAGATCCTTCCAGAACTGAGTGATGGCTTACATAATGATAGCCAGGAACAAGGGGAAGGTATAACAAGAGATTGACATCGGGGGAGGTGGGAAGTCACACATTGGTTGCCTCCCATGGCATCTCAGATGGACTGTCTCTAGAACCCCCTCCCACAACTTGCTTTGAAAAATACTGCACATTTTGTTTTCATAAACATGAAATGAGCTTGCTACACACTCAGCAGGACTGTGTTCTCAGAATAAAGCTTCTACAATCAGTGATGGATCATCTGAGCTTTATCTGGACCTACACTGATGAGGCTCCAGTCACACAAAACTGCAGTGGCAAGAATTTCTCTGTTCTTTGCCATGCTCTCGCCTACCATGGCTATTATGCCTGAAGTGAGAAAACAAATGTTATTTACACCTACATTAAAGATGGAGATGGGAAGACATATCTCAGTACAGAATATTCATGTAGGAAATCAAGATATGGGGTTGGGAATTAAATAGCTTTCCTTTTTTTTTTTTTTTTTTTTTTTTTTTTTTTTTTTTGTAAACTGTACTATTATCTGATTTATTTTATTGAGCCTGCTTCTGGATATTTTAAGTAGTGCCCAAATGAATGAATAATTCTTCTGAACTTAAAGTGGAAGTTGTGGTGGCTTTTTTGTGGTTTTTGTTCAGTGCCATGTACAGGTTATGCTGACATAGAGAACTCCTTCATGTGAGTTACTGGAGGATTACATTTTCCCTGTTCCACAATTCCTCTCAACTTCAGCACAGGAACTCCCTGTAACCCAGTGAAATCCCACAGATATGATTTAATGGCAAATAAAATGAAAAACACCTTTTTGGAAGAATAGGATCTGACCAGTGCTATGCAACATTAAATGCAATGGGAAATGAGGTGAAAACAGCACAGAAAGAAGCACATCATAATTTATCTCTTTTTCACTGAATTTCTTGAATAAATCTGAAGCACCGTAAATATGAGTGTCCTGAGGGGCCAAATAGGGAAGGAGCTTTAATGGATGCTGTTCTTTCTTTAGCTTTGTGCCTTTTCTAGGTCAAGACAATAGGAAATTTAAGTCCAGGAGTGAAATTATTAAGTAAAGCAGCCATCCAAAGGTGCAGAAAAATGTCAAGTAGGGTTTTCAAAGGCCTGACTGGATAACTTGTAATGAGGATAGGTAATTGATAATGAGAAGTAGCTTCCAGTTATTTTCATTGCAGCTAAGTGTCCAATCACTGAAAATCCAATTAGACCACAACAGGGATTTTGGATGAGGCACTGATGGTTTGCAGTCCTCAGGTAAGACAGTCTAAAATTCATAAAGGAAAAACAGTGTCCATGCACAGACCTGTTAATGGTGGGAGTGAAAAACTGCACCTCCTAAATTTATTGGGTGTTCAGGGCTGCATCACCAAGACCATAAATGCCTATCTGCATTGTAACCCTCCTCAGGAAAATCACAGCTATGTTTGCTTTCCTGGAGTCAAGATGTTTCCAGTAGGAGTGATTTATTGATTGTGCTGCTTTATTTCTGTTAAATATCCAGCAGCTGGCATGTGCTGAAGAATTGTGAAGCATCTGCTTGGATTTGGGTTTTTTTCTCAGTCAGTAATAATACCTCAAGCACCAGTATTACCATACAATAACAGCACAGCTTAAAGCATCTCAGTTCCCAGATGTCTCTGAGTGGGGGATGCTAAGTGCTCTTTGTTCTTCTAATACAGAACCATAGAATGATTGGGGCTGTGTTAGGAATGAAACGCTTGACTCAGCCAATATATCAAGCAGCAATTCAATTTATCAATTAATATGGTAATCTATGAGCAAAGACAGTGCTGGGTACAGTGGTGGGGGGTTTCCCCTCCAGCTGCACACCAGTTGTTGGGCTTGATGGCATTTATCGATATATTCATGCATATTTATAAGCTTTTCCCAGTTTCTACGTGAGCTTTTGACAGTTTCCATTTCTACCTTTAACATCACAATTCTATACTCCAGGGTCATAAATCTATGATGGTAATGTTTGGTTCCTTTCCCGTTTCAATACCCTATTGTGTGCATCCCAGGATGTGTGTCCAGATGGTGAGATCCAGCTTCTGTTTCCTGGGATCATTAATCCATGGTAGTGATGTCCAGCTTCCCCTTTCGACATCTTCCTTGTCCAGGAGCTTGAGATAGGGTCACTTCCCTTTCTCTTTAAATCCTTTGTACATTCTAAAGCTACAGTTTAATGTCCTTAATACTAAACAACAGTCTAAAATTATAAGTCAAAAGTTCTTATTACAAAACAGCTTAAGACTTCTAATTGCTATCTGCAAACAAAAGATTGGTTCAAAAACCTTCTTTCATGATTTCCTCGGTTGTTTAATAGAACTCTATAGCTGTCCACGGCCATGTTCCACACATTTAATAACCACAGCTACACAGGTTGCCTTTATTAACCTGACATGAAACACAGCTTTGTATTTCACAGCTGGAAGTGATCTCTGGACCTCATCCAGCCCAGCCCCCTGCCCAGGCTGGGTCACCAGGTGACACAGGAACACAGCCAGGTGGGCTTGGGGTGCTTCCAGAGGAGGATACTCCACAAACTTCCTGGGAAACCATTCCAGTGCTTTGCCCCACTATGGAACAAATTACTTCCTCCTGTTGTGGTTTACTTTATGGCTATTGCTCCTCATTCTGTCACTAGGCGCCACTGAACAGAGTCTGGCACCATCCCCTGAGGAAATGCCTTAGAAATATCTATTTGCATTAATGAATTCCTAGCCTTGTCTTCTCCACACCTTTATTCACTACACCCTTAAAGCTCAACACCAGCACGCCCCTGACTACGGGACGCATCTGCTGCCTGCGCCACCGATGAGAATGAACTTCCTTTCCTTTGATCAGCACGCCGGCGCACCGCCCCACAGAGCACACTCGAGGCAATCTCGCCGGCGCACCGCCCCACAGAGCCCACTCGAGGCAATCTCGCCGCTGCCGAGCCCCCAGAGCCGCCCCAGCCGCCCGGGGCCGGCAGCGCCGGGCAGGAGGAGCCGCGGCCGGGCCGGCCCCGGACGGGCGCGCTGTGCCGCCCCGCCGCCGCGCTCCGCCCTTCCGCCGGGACATGGCGCAGGAGCTGCGGCCCATGGACGGCGACGTGGAGGACGGCGAGCTCTCCGGCTCCGACTCGGACATGCCCGGCGCCGGCTCCCCCGCACAGGTGAGGATGGGCAGCGGCCGGAGCGCCGGGCCGGAGCGCCGGGCCGGGGCAGCGCCGGGCCGGGGCAGCGCCGGGCCGGGGCGGCGGGTCGAGAAGGCCGCGCCTGAGGGGGCTGTGCCGGCCTGGGGCGCTCGTCCCCGGGCCGGGAGCCTCTCCCGGGGCTGCTGGCTTGTCCCTGCGCTCCTGGCTGTCCCTGTGCCGCCGTGCTGACCCCGCGGAGAGCCCCGAGCGCTGCCGGGACCCCGCGGCTCGCCCGCGTGTCTGCGGGTCTGGGGAGAGGTGCCAGCGCTGTCCCCGTGTCTCTCCGTGCCCCGCTATGTCCCCTCCGCCACCAGCCCCGGTCCCCAGCCCGGGAGGAGCTGGAGCTGCTGGAGCCGGCCCAGAGGAGGCTCCAGGGTGAGCCGGGGATGCAGCAGCTCTGCTGGCAGCAAAGGCTGGCACAGCTGGCATCGCTCACCCGGCCAGGAGAAGCTTTGGGCTGAGCTCAGGGCGGCTCCAGGGAAGATGGAGAGAGACAATGGACAAGGGATGGAGGGACAGGAGACAGGGAATGGCTCCAGTGCCCCAGGGCAGGGCTGGGTGGGACATTGGGAATGAGGAATTGTTCCCTGGCAGGGTGGGAAGGGCTGGGATGGAATTCCCAGAGCAGCTGGGGCTGCGCCTGGATCCCTGGCAGTGCCCAAGGCCAGGCTGGATACTGGAAGCACCTGGGACAGTGGGAGATGTCCCTGCCATGGCTGGCGTGGCATTGGGTGGAATTTAAGGTCCCTTCCAACCCAAACCAGTCTGTGATTTGCAGAGGGTATGAGGAATTTATTCTGTGAGGAATTTGTACTGAGAGTATGAGGTGTTCATGGTAGTGTACACCCCAAAAAAGATTTCAAAGATCAGTGTGTGACATTGTATGTGTAACAAATTTTGTGCTCTCCAGTTATTTTGATCTTTGCAATATAGTTCAGAGAAATGAAGTGCAAAATAATTTTTTTACAGAAATGTTCAGTCTTTTTTTTATTTATGCTAGGTTTGGAGTTTTTGCATTACACTTGAAGTTAAAGGTTTGTTTTTCATAATGTGGTAAATTGAATACTTCCCTTTTCCTGTTTGGAGAAAGAAGAAATGTCACTGTGTTGATTAAAACAGTAAGGCTAAAGAAAGAATTTTTATTTCACTTGAAAGTGGAGGAAGAGATCTTATTTTGAAAGATAATGGGACAGCATATAACTTTATGATAAGAAATCAGTCAGGGAATAATTGGAATTTGGAGTAAAAGCATTACTTGAGTATTTGTAGATCAGTGGAATTATTTTTTTCATGGACAGTGTTTGTACTAATTCATGAGACATATTTAATCCATAGTGTCTTGTTGATTTAAAGGAGGAAAAATGGGTGGTTCTGTAAAGGTTCTGCTGTCCCCAAGTTGCTTCATGTGCCATCCTGACTGAACCAGGATCACAGAACACTTAATATGAGCCATCCCAGTTTTGTGGGTTTGATTTTTAGGCTTTATTTTTGATCATTTGGTCTTCTCACTTGAAACTGCAGAGAGATTATTAACTTCTCTGATTATTAACTGATTATTACCAGTTCTCTGATTGTTAACTATCTCTAGACAAAGCTCTGGTAGGTTGCTGTGTTGTTCTGGTATTTTACTGTTCTTAGAGCCTGCTGTGCATCTTGCATCTTTGTCCAGTTTGCACACATTTTCCATCACATCTTTTTTGCAGTTCTGTAGTCATTTTTGCTCAGCAAAGTTTGCTTTCAGGAGAACAGCAGCTCCTGACGTGTTTCAGTGTCAGCCATGCTCTATTTCATGCTCATGCACTCAAAATACAGGAGTTTCAAAGGATGCCCCTGTGCTATGGCCCATGAGATGCTCGTAGAGGTCTGCATGGCCACGAGGGTCAAAATTATGTATTTTAGTTAATTGACAACTTGATAGCCCTTCTAATTTTCATTGAATAATAGGTTTTGATTAATTTTTAATTCCAGAAGCTGCATGCTGGCAGTGATTCCTGCAGGCCCTTCCAGAGCAGCCTCTCATCCTGCGCTCCCAGTGTTCCTTACAGGACCACCAAGAGCCTGGATTCGAGCGAGGAGAGCGGCTCTGACTCCGATGACGATAGCTGCCTGTGGAAGAGAAAGAGGCAGAA